TGATGTTGTGCTGCTGTTACTGTTGTCGCGTATTGCACAAAAAGCTCACAAAATGACAGTTCAGCCAAAGTATGATGATGCTGATTATGGAGCTCCGCTAGAACAAGGAAAGAGTGAAACAGATGAGAAGTTCAATGAAAATTAATTCCCTGCTGCCCTTCGGGATCCAGTACAATGTTAGCGCAGAATTACACTAGACTTATAGGGGCCAGAACCGCGAGGGTACGAGGGTAGGAAAGATAAAGGAACACTTTGTTTGGAAACGACTATGTGCACAGCACAAACGTGCACACAGCATTGGTACAATCAGATGGAATAACAAAGAGATAAGGAAAAAAGATCCAAAAGGGGGGGGAGAGGAGAGAACGGAACGAATTATTGCAAACTATGATGCTTCGAATCACAGATCTGAGGGGATAATCATTATGGCTCTTTAACATTGTAAGAGGACGATTCTCATTGAGGTATAATGAATGGGGGTCAATACTTACTCACTCCCCGTCTAGATGCATGCATATGGCATGGGTGTGAGAGAAACCACACAAACTGGAAAACGATTCGCGGGGAAAGTGAGTGAGGACAGGTTGAGTCATAACGCCGTGCATAGTTGGCACATCTTTTGGAGTGAACACACACACACACACACACACACACACAAAAACACACGAGAGAGACATTCGCTGAACAAAGGAATAAACTGTTTCGTGTGGTGCATTTATCACACCGTGTGTGCTCGCGGGAAGAAAATCACTGCACCGTGACAATTGCATTTTGGCACTCGGGGTGATTGTTTATCATTTATCAAGATCACAAGGTGCAGACGAAATACCAAATGTCAAATGTCCGTGTTGGGGTTCATAATACTCTCTCTCTCTCTCTCTCTCTCTACTAACTGGCTGGTTGGATACGCGGAACGACACATGAGAACGAACCGACAGCAGTGGCGTTCTTGTTGTCACTTCTTGTCAGGCCAGAATGCTTGAGGACGTACATGTGCAATTAGACCGTCTGTTTTGTGTGTGTGTTGACCATAGCGGTTGACTTTCTGTTAGCTTTCCTAAGCCAGGCCCGCAGTGTGAGCCTGGCAGGGATTAGCGAAGTTCATTTCACTTTCCTAAACAATGACAGATCATTTGAATATATGCAGTTAGTACCGCGTCGGATCGCTGATCACAAATGATTAATTCTATTTCGCCTGTTCGCCGAGCTTGGCAATTTGTTTGCAAACGTTTCATCACCAACCGAGGTGACATCATCAGCGCTTGTGAAATGGCAGTCTTCCGTTTGTGTATGTGTTCTTCTCCACCGACCATTGCTGTCCCTTGTTCTCATTGTGTTCGACTCGGTTCGCCGTTAAACTGGTGCGTGGGGGTGAGGTTGGTAGGGGAGGTGGTTGTTCATCCGTCCTGATTGCAGTTTCGGCCCGTTCTCATGTCACGGCGTGACCTTTTTTGTTGCGTCATTTGATCCTTGAGTTGCACTGGTGTGTACACGCGATCCAGTTCAATGTGTCTGTTGACTGAAGAGTGCCCAGCTTCGAGAAATTCTCCGGCTTGATCGATAATTCTCACTGAATCGAAGCCAAACTGATGTCCTTCTTGATCATCGTGGAGGGAAATCAGAGATAGTGGGTCAGGTCTCCTGACTGCCGATTGGTGTTCACAGATCCTTGTTGACAGTTTTCTCCCAGTTTGTCCGACATAGGGTTTTGAGCAGTTCGGCTGATGATAAAAGGTTTGCAAACAAATTGCCAAGCTCGGCGAACAGACGAAACAGAATTCAATTCACCCGAGCTACGAGAACCGATTTTCAATACTTTGTCAACAAGTGATTAATGACTGACTCACGGCAATTGAGCAGTCGCGTACCAATCCGAATGGTGTGCAAAACGATGAATGAGTTGTTCAGATGAGTCATGTGTATGATGCAATTTAATTATTTTCCGCTGCTCGAGTTTAGACAATGGCAACATCATTCTTCAAATGTGGAATCCGCTGAATTTTGGAGCCACACGATGACGTGAACTTCTTCGCGTTCTGTCGATATGCACGATTAAAATTACACTGAAGGACATCAAGCTGACTGAATCCGGATTAAGGTTGTAAGATGAACACAGACTCGGCATAACCTGGGATTACCTGAAGAGTGGTTTTCAACGGTTGGATCAGGTCATGGAAGTACGGACATGGAAAGTAATCCACAAATCACGGCGAAATCGATGCAATTCAAATACACAAACATTAGTAACGACGAGAGTCACACAACTGTGACTGCGATCAGCGTCATCTCAGTTGCCTATCAGGTGACTGCCGGCTCACGCATGCTTCGCCGTCCGACCTTGACATGCACCAATCATGCGACAAAAATACCAAGCTGCCATCATTCTACGTCCAAACGCAGGTGCTCAAATAGGGGTCGTCAGAAACTGTTAACAGAGTCGAAATAAACACGTTGCTAGACCAAATCTTTTCCGACATTGATCCAACTGACCACAAACTCACAAGCAACATTCAGAAAGGTCAAGGTCGGTGAGAAGCTGTCCGACTCACCAAATATAAATTCTAATGACCTAGTTCGAACACCACCTATTGGACCAACGAACCTGATCACAGTAAAAATGTATCAAGCAGGAA